AACTAACACAAACAGAGGTAGAACAACTGAATAAATCTATAACAAAAGAAGAGATTGAAGAGGTAATAAAAAAAAAAAACTTCCCAACAACAACAAAAGAAGCCCTGGCCCTGATGGCTTCACTGGAGAATTCTACCAAACTTTCAGAGAAGAGTTAACACCACTTCTACTAAAGGTATTTCAGAGCATAGAAAAGGATGGAATACTCCTGAACTTGTTCTATGAAACCAGCATAACCTTGATAGCAAAACAAGGTAAAGACACTATAGAAGAAAAAAAATTATAGACCAGTATCCCTCACGAACATAGACACAAAAATCCTCAACAAAATTTTAGCCAATAGAATTCAACAACGTATCAAAAAAATAATTCATCATGGCCAAGTGGGATTCATATCAGGTATGCAGGGATGGTTCAACATTAGAAAAACAATCAATGTAATCCATCACATAAATTAAAGATAACCACATGATCTTATCAATTGTTACAGAAAAGGCATTTGACAAACTCCAGCACCTATTCATGAGAAAAACTCTCAGCAAAATAGGAATAGAAGGGAAATTCCTCAACATAATAAAGGGCATTTATACAAAGTCAACAGCCAACATCACTCTAAACAGATAAGAGTCTGAATTCCCTTTGAGAACGGGAACCAGACAAGGATGCACGTTATCATCAGTCTTATTTTGTGCTGGAGGTCCTAGCCAGAGCAGTTAGGCTAGAAAAAGAAATAAAGGGCATCCAGAGTGGTAAGGAAGAAGTAAAAGTAGCCCTATTTGCAGATGGTATGATCTCATATACAGAAAACCCCAAAGAATCCACAAGAAAACTACTAGAACTAATAAAAGATTTCAGCAAAGTATCAGGATACAAGATAAACATATAAAAATCAGTTGGATTCCTCCACACTAACAAAGGGAACTTTGAAAAGGAAATCACCAAATCAATAACATTTACAGTAGCCCCGAGGAAGATAAAATACTTAGAAATAAACCTAACCAGAGACGTAAAAGATCTATACGAAGAAAACTGCAGGACACTACTGCAAGAAACCAAGAGTCCTATGTCAATGGAAAAACGTACCATGCTCATGGATAGGAAGGCTCAACATTGTGAAAGTGACAGTTCTATCCAGAGCAATCCACAGAGACAATGCAGTCCTGATCCAAATTCCAATGGCATTTTTTTAACAAGATGGAGAAACAAATCACCAACTTCATATGGAAAGGGAAGAGGCCCCAGATAAGTAAAGCATTACTCAAGAAGAAGAACAAAGTGGGAGGCCTCACACTACCTGATTTTAGAACCTGTTATGCTGCCATGGTAGTCAAAACAGCCTGGTACTGGTACAGCAGATACGTAGACCAATGGAACAGTAGTGAGAACCCTCATGTAAATTCATCCACGTATGAGCAGCTGATATTTGACAAAGGTCCAAAGTCGGTTAAATGGGGGAAAAGGCAGTCTCTTTAACAAATGATGCTGGCATAACTGGATATCTATCTGCAAAAAAATGAAACAAGACTCACACCTCACACCATGTACAGAAACTAACTCAAAATTAATCAGAGACCTAAATATAAAATCTAAAATGATAAAGATAATGGAAGAAAAAACAGGGACAACACTAGGAGCCCTAATACATGCATAAACAGAATAGAAACCTAACAGTGTATAAATACCAGAAGAGAAACTAGATAACTTGGAGCTCCTACAAATCAAACACTTATGCTCATCAAAAGACTTCACCAAAAGAATAAAAAGAGAACCTACAGACTGGGAAAAATTTTTTTGCTATGACATATCTGATCAGGGTCTAATCTCTAAAATCTACAAAATACTGCAACACCTCAACAACAAAAAGACAAATAACCCAATAAAAAATAGGCCAAGGATATGAACAGACTCTTCACCAAAGAAGACATTCAGACAGCTAACAGATAAATGAGGAAATGCTCACGATCATTAACCATTAGAGAAATGCAAATCTAAACTACAGTGAGATACCATATTACCCCAACAAGGATGACACTAATCCAAAAACAAAATAACAAATGTTGGAGAGGTTGTAAAGAGACTGAAACACACACTCCTGGTGGGAAAGTAAAATGGTACAACCACTTTTGGAAGTCAATTTAGCGCTTCCTTAAAAGGCTATAAATAGGAGTACCATACGATCCAGCAATCCTACTCCTTGAAATATATCCTAGAGAAATAAGAGCCATCACGTGAATAGATATATGCACACCCATGTTCATTGCAGCATTGTTCACAGTAGCAAAAAGATGGAAACAACCTAGATGACCATCAACAGACAAATGGATAAACAAATCATAGTACATACACACGATGGAATACTACACAACGGTAAAGAACAATGATGAATCCATGAAACATCTCACAACATGGATGAATTTAGAGGGCATTATGCTGAGTGAAATTAGTCAGAAAAGGACGAGTACTGATGAGACCACTATTATAAGAACTCAAGAAAAGGTTTAAACACAGAAGAAAATATTCTTTGATGGTTACGAGGGTAGGGAGGGAGGGAGAGGGGAATTCACTAACTAGATAGGAGACAAGAATCATCTTAGGTGAAGGGAGGGAAAACACACTACAGGGGAGGTCAGCACAGCTGGACCAAAGCAAAAGCTGAGAAGTTTCCTGAACACAGCCAAACACTGAGGGACAGAGTAGCTGGGCTGGGGCCTGGGGACCATGGTTTTGGGGGACATCTATGTCAGTTGGCATAACAAAGTGTATTAAAATGTTCTGCATCCCACTTTGGTGAGTGGCGTCTGGGGTCTTAAAAGCTTGCGAGCGACCATCCAAGACATCAGTTGATCCCAGCCTGCTTGAAACAAAGGAGATTGAAGAACACCAAACACACTAGGAAAATATTAGCCAAAGAGTCAAAAGGGTCACATAAACCAGAGACTCCATCAGCCTGAGACCAGAACAAATATATGATGCCTGGCTACCACCAATGACCGCCCTGACAGGGGACACAACAGAGAGTCCCTGACAGAGCAGAAGAAAAGTGTGAAGCAGAGGTCAAATTCACAGAAAAAGACCAGACTTAATGGTCTGACAGAGTCTGGAGGAACCCCCAAAACTATGGCCCCGGACACTCAGTTAACCCAGATCTGAAACCATTCCTGAGCCCCATGCTTCAGACAAAGATTAGACTGGACTATAAAATAAAACAATACTCGTGAAGAATACGCTTCTTAATTCAGTCAAATGTAGGAGACCTAATGGGCAGCTCCTGTCCGGAGGCAAGATGGGAAGGCAGGAAGGGGCAGGAACTGGTTGAACAGACACTAGAAACCCTGGGTGGAGAGGGGGTGTGTGCTGTTAGGCTGTAGGGATTGCAACTAATGTCACATAACAATATGTGTATAAATTTTTGTATGAGAAATTAACTAGAGTGTAGATTTTCACCTAAAGCACAAGAAAAATTAACTTATTAGTATAATTATTTATTTATATGTAAATAAATAGCATACTTTTAGATAGCCCGATTTAACTAAAATCAAAAGCTTATTCATGCACAGCAAAACATGCACCAGTTCAGCAGTTCTACATGTACAATTCAGTGACATTGATTACATTCTTCAGGTTGTACAACCATTCTCACCCCTTCCTTTCTGAATTATTTCTCCTCTGTTAACATAAACTCACTGTCCTCTATCTCTCGAGTTGCCGTTGTCAGTTCTATCCCATGTAGATAGATCTTGAAAGAGCATAATGCTCAAGGCAGAGATTGTTTACCAGTTCAGCTAAATTATTTGGTTTTAAGAAGACTTCCAGGTTTAAGGTTTAAAGATGATCTCAGGTAAGTAGTTTTAGGGGTTGTTCACCTCTTTATATTTTCGTTTAACAAAAGATAACTATAATTATTTTAATAAAGATTTTTGAATTATTATCTTATGGCAACCCTAAAGTTTTTGAAGTGGTTGGTATAACAGTGTCATTTGCATAATAGCTGTATGTATTTTGGGCACAGTTTGGTTTTGAAAAATGGCAATAACATGGATTTGTGGAAGTAAGGTTGTGGTAAAACTCGGATATGTTTATGAACTTAAAGTATTTCACTTATTAGGAGTGAATTATGTCTAAAATAATTAGTCTTGGCAGGTTGTAAGTAAGCAAGGTGTTAATAGATTTCTTGTTTTTTCCTTGCTGGAGATGAGCTGAAGTTTAAGATTTGGAAGTTAGATTTCATTTGAGTCATATGGGCCTCAGATGAGTAGAATAAAATGCTGATTAAAATAGATAGTTTGCGAACATAGACTAGAGCAAAGTGTGTATGTAGACTAGACCAGAGTGTGAACACAGACTAGACCAGAGTGTGAACACAGACTAGACCAGAGTGTGAACACAGACTAGACCAGAGTGTGAACATAGACTAGACCAAAGTGAGAACATAGACTAGACCAAAGTGTGAACATAGACTAGCCCAAAGGCAGGAAGGGGCTGAGAGCTGGTTGTTGACCAGACTTGGGGTAGTGAGCTGGTGATGGAGATAGGGTTTGGAGAGAGGTTCCAGAAGATGACTTTTTATAACCCTGACCATTAAACAAAACTGCCTCCACCTTTCTCGTTGTCCCTCACCTCATGTTCCATTGGTCACTCAGATGTCCTTGAAGATGAGAAACCCCCAAAGAAGACCCTTCTTTCCAAAATTTCACAAGGAAAGAAGAGGAGAGGCTGCAGTGATCCTCGGGGCCCAGCTGATGATGGTCCAACAAAGAAGAAAGTAGCCAAGGTGACTGCTAAATCCAGACACCTCAAGGTTGTAAAGGATGAAGCCGTTAGTGATGGGGAAGATTTCAGGTGAGATGGCTGAAAACTTTGATAGTTCCCATCAGAGAGGTGTAGGCAGTGAAAGTTGCTCTCTGTGCTTGTCACTGGGCTCCATGGAAAAAAATTCGACCTTTAAATCTTCTAGATAAAGAGCTCGGCCCAGTAAGAGCTGAAAAGAATCTTATTGATTCTGTAGTTTACCTCCAAAACTTTGCAGATGAGGACAGTGAAAGCCAGGAGAAAGTGATTTATTCATGGTTACACAGCTGGATAGTGGCAAAACCAGGCTAGACCCCAGGCCTTCTGACTCCTGGTCCAGTGCTCTTTCTACTACACCAAGATATTAGATACATACAAAATACGTGCCATTCCAGCTTTATCTCGCATACTCTCCTTTATCTTGTACACTCTGTTCCTGCTCATCGGGACTTCTCATCATTCACTCAGCACATTTTCATACTTTGCTACCCCTAAGTTGTGCTCCGATTGTTCCGTCTACCTGGAGTGCTTTCTTCCACCTTGAAGATGCAGATCAGAAGCCATCTACTTAGAAGTCATTTATCCTACAAAGTCTTCATTTATTCTTCCCCCTTTCCTTCTCTGATTTCCTACAACATCTCTTAAGGTGCAGCATGCTGTGTCTACCTTGTATTACCCTTATATGTGTGTATAGTATATATCCCTCCTTACTACACAGTAAGCCCTCAGAGGGCTGGAACATTTTCGTGTACCCTCTGGCATCTAGGTCAGGGTTGTTTATTTCACAGAAACTGAGCAAGTCAGTATTGCAGTGAATGAACATTCATATTAATCTATAGTGAACTATGAATATAAGCTTACCAGGCACTTGATTGGAACCCTGGTGGAACATGGTTAAGAGCTGCAGCAGTTTGAATCTACCAGCTGCTCCTTGGAAACTGTATGGGGCAGTTGTACTCTTCCCTGTAGGGTCGCTATGAGTTGGAATCGATTCGATGGAAGTGGGTTTGATTTTTCGTTTTGGAAGCACTTGATTACCTACCTCCTTCCTTGCTTCAGAGATAAATCTTTACTACCTGACATCCAGCAGCCTCGCCAGTCCTGACATAGGAACATAGCCTAGTAGGGGGCAGCAGTAGAAAGGAGTACAGGAAAGCATATTGGTTTACCACTGTGCTTCATCTCTCCTTCTTTTCTCTGGAGTTTTTCCAAGACTAAGCAGTGCAGTAGTTTCTTGTATATATGGCCTTTCTGGCCTTGAGTTTATAATTATGCCAAAAATATTTGGGCCACAGCCTGCCCTGAGATTGGTCTATTTTATGTACCTTGCAGGAATTGAACAGTTTACCATGCAAATAAGGTGTGTAAAACTCTTGTGGGGATTGGTTGATTCCTTTGCAAATTAGGTGACTATGGCCTACAGAGGGGATTGGTCAGTTCATGGTCTTGGTGGAAAGAGTAGGCTTATAAAAAGGCCAATTCCACAAAGGTTGAGGAGGATCTCACTACCAGCAAGAAGAATAGCCTAAAGCAGTTTGCATCCTTTGGGCCCAGGGTCCTTGTACTGAAAATCTTCTGGACCCAGGAGAGAAAGACGACACTTGAGACAACGTGAGATGGGTGCAGCAGCATGAACAGTGCAGGTGGCAGGAACCAGACCAGCGCAAAATGGCTGCAGTGGGCCTCCTGGCCCACGGAGCAGGGTGGCTGCAGTGGGTTTGCCAACCCACAGACCAAGAGAGAGCTGAGTGCCTTCAGGCAGAAGACTTGCTGGGAAATTGGGGTGCCTCCAGGCACTTGTCAGCGGATCCAAAAGTGCTGTAACACTTGCCCAAGCAGGGCAGAGGCCAGACCCAGTGGGGCTCTGCAGCAGAAGGTCAAGCCAGGTCCAGCAGCAGAAGGCCTGAGTGAAAGGCCTGCCTGTGGACATGGCTGATAAACAGTTGAGAGCTATCTTAGAAACCGTCCTGATTGATGAACTGTATCCTGTATCCTATCTCCTGCGTTGTTCCTGTTACCGCCAAGTTGATTCTGATCCTGACCCTGAGTTGTAGCCTGTTACTTCCCTAATAAACCACATAATCGTAATTATGGTCTCTGGGTTCTGTGTGGCCATTGCAATAAATTAGCAAACCCAGCAGAGAAGTAGAGAGTGCGTGGGGAAGACAGCTGGTGTCAGAATTGAAGAATTGGGAGAGTGGAGGTATATCTGACATCTACCTCATAGGAATCAGCTCTGTGCTGATCTTGATTCTCCACCCTCCTTGTGAATTTAGATGGCTTCTGACACTACTGTAGTACAGACTGCCTCTGAGCTTACTGCTTCCCAGTTGCCTCCTCTCACTGGTGGAACTCTTGGCTTCAGAACCAGAATGCTGCCGAGGAAAGCTCTGGGCCCACTTTCCCCTCACAACTGAGAGTTGACTGTGGCCAAACCCCAAAGCATATGAGTATTTCTGCTGTGTTTATTTTGAGGAGAAATTTGGTGTTGAGAGACAGCAGTAGGCTAAAAAGAGACTGTATGTATTATAAGAACTGAAGACTGAGGATTGGTTATTTTAAAGGTCTGTGTTAAAATCTTAGATAGTATTCTCATACCAAAAGCAAATATCAAAGCTAAAAGTAACTTAATACTCCAAACACATTTTATATATGAATTTTCAGAAATACATTTTTTAGTATACACATTAGCCACCGTTTAGTCTTGAGCCAGTGTTTAGCTATTTACCTGTGTGGTTATACCTAGCTAGCTATCCATGTTTATGTTGTTATTTATGACATACCTATGTATAGTCATATCCTGACTTAATTTGGAGTTAGAACTCTGCCAACTTTGTATCCTTACATCATATTTCTCAAAGGTGGAGGAAAAAACCTTGTAAGTTGGCTCATAGTAGGATCAGCAAATGTAAATTCTCTTCTTTCTGGCCTCCAACTGCACATATATATGCACACATCACAACTTTTACTTCTGGAACTCACACTGTGGTTTTTTTCTAACGTTTCCCTTACCATTTCCAAGCGCAGCTATGTTTTCCTTCATTCAGCTCTAGGTTTAGGTTAATAAGAGCTCTTTCTGTTTTGACAGCACACCTAGTATCACGCTGATGCTCAGAGCACATCTTACTGATAATTTAAGACCTCTGCTCATGGAGGAAATGAGGGTCAGAGCTCACAGACCATCTTTAAAACATTGCCACTGATTAGAGGAACATAGAAGGAAGAGTCTTTAAATTCCCCTCAGCTTAAGTGTAACCCTAGGCCGTCGGGGCCTTTTTCATCTTTCTTTCTGTGATCTTTCCACAGGAACTTCCCAGCTGCCCACAAGAAGGCACACCATCCAAAGAGAGAGGCTACCATTGACAAAGATAGCAGTGAAGGAGAAGATGAGGATGAAAGTGAAGGTGATTGGGAAGAGGTAGAAGGTAAAACGTCTTTCTTTACTTTCAAAACTGATTCTGTTTGTTTTCTGTTTGGAGTTTTATCAGTTATTGCAATCCTGTTACTTTCTTTTGAAACTAATAAGACCAAAGATAAGGTTGCAGTAGGAAGTTAGTTTAGGAAAAACTCATGGACAGGTTAGCAAAGAAGGTTGTATATTCTCTTCCTCTGGTTACTGTCAATGGAGTAGATATAAAAAACAGAGAAGCAGCATAGTGTAGTAGAAAGAGCAAGGTTTTGAAGCTAGTCAGACCTGAGTTCAGAACCCAGGTATGTGACCTCGAATGAGTAACTTACCTTTTCTGAGCGTAAGTTTTTTTTCACCAGTAACATTCAGTAAACGTTGAATGTCTGCTATATGCTATGCATTATTATAAAAAAAATTCTTTATAATTTTTTCCCTTTTTTTTTTTCAGTCCAATCAGGGTATAAAACTTATATTTGGTTGTTTTGTCCCCTTAGTCTCTTTTAATTTAGAATAGTATTCCTACCCACCTACTCAGATTTTTTTTGGCTTTTCATGACACCGCCTTTTTTGTAGAGTCCTGGTCTTTTATTTTATAGGATGTCTCATGTTCTGGTTTTATCTGGTTTATTTTCTCATGTTATTGTTAAACTTGTTTCAGTATCCCCCGTATCTCTTATAGACTGTAAGTTAAGTCTAAAGACTTAATTGGATTTAAAGTAAATGTTTTTTGGCAAGAATACTTACAGTGAAGCTTTGTAATTCGTATCACATCCATTAAGGGGCACCTAATGTCAGATTGAGACTAGCCTTGATGGGGCAGTGGTTAAAGTGTTTGGCTGCTAACCAAAAGGTTGGCGGTTCAAACCCATCAGCTGCTCTGCAGAAGATGTGGCAGTCTGCTTCTGTAAAGATTAACATCCTTGAAAACCCTGTGGAGCAGTTTTCCTCTGTCCTATAGGGTCACTATGAGTTGGAATGGACTCGACAGCAATGGGTTTTTATCTCATTTAACCCATAAAACAACCAATAGAAGTAGTCTTTAGATGAGGTATCTAAGGCATAGAGATACTGAGTTGGATTAGATACAAACCCCTGTTATCAAGGAGCTGATGCTCATGTGTGTGTTTTCGTAGACACTAACTCTTTTCCCTAAAAAATAAAAAAGCCAAATGAGAACAATCTCCTAGTCTCTGTATTACTATAACAGTTATCACAATTTGCTTTGTATAGAGTCATGATTTAGGTGTCTGTTTTTCACCCTGAATTATAAACTTGTAAATGACCAGGAATGAATCTTTTTCGTTTCTTTATCAACCACACTGCCCACAAACACTGGTTGCGATGAAATGAGTTTCCTGAACTGGGTCAGATTGTGAGCTTCGTTAGCAAAGGCACTTTTAAAGAAGCTCTAGGCCTAGAAGCAGTGACATCACAGTGGCAACGAGCACACTTAATGCCAAGATCTTGTTTCTCTTTGTCATTCCCTACTAAAATGAACCAGGGCTTCTTGGAGAAAAGAGGCTGAGTATCCCAGGTCTGGAGAAGGAAATTACAAGGTGAGCCTGGAATATCTTGCTATGCCAGGATCAAAAACTAATGAGGCTGTGTCAGAGGACATGGTAGCTAACTTAAAGGGGCTCACACTAGCCAAATAGGGTATGTGCTAAAGATCAAAAAGTATAATGATAACTGATTGTAACGTATTTGAATTTTTAAAAAACTCTTTAAGTCCATAGTTATATTCAAAATAAATGGATAAATACAGTTTTTAAAAGGGGAAGCTCTTAACAGATGAAAGTCAGAAAATAAATGTATATAAAATGACAGAATCAGAAAATTACCACTTTACAGTCCTCAATATAATAATCTTTGTTTCAGTCAAGATCATCAATGTGTGCTAAAGCCATTAAGCAAAAACGTTATTAGGAAACAAGATATTGAGACTCAACATATCACTCCAAAAACCAAACCTATTGCCGTCGAGGGGCAACCTGATGTTGAAAACCAAATCTAAACCCACTTCCGTCAAGTCAGTTCTGACTCATAGCAACCCTGTAGGACAGAGAAGAACTGCCCCATAGGATTTCCAAGGCTGTAAATCTTTACAGAAGCAGACTGCCACATCTTTATCCTGCGGATCACCTGGTAGGTTCAAACCATCGCCTTTCGGTTAGCAGCCTAGCATTTAACCACTGCCCTGCCAGGGCTCTTTAAATACATGTAAAACACTTAGCCTAATACCTGATGCATTGTAGGTACTCAAAACGTGGTAGGAGTAGTTGTCCTGGACCTGGAACCCATTCCTTACTTCTTCCTTTCCAGCAGAACATCCATTTTGTTCAGTATAGTAGCTATTATTATAATTGTAATTATTGATTTTTAAAAATTATTATTGATAGAACTTAGTGAACCTGTGCCAGGTGACGTTGGAGAAAATGCAGTCTTCTCTAAATCTGTTCTACCTATGAATCCCGTGGAGATAGAGATTGAAACACCGGAGCAGGCTAAAACAAGAGAAAGAAGGTAAGATTAGACACTTGCTTCCATGTTCCTATCACATATGATGGACAGCAGCTGCTACTTAATGAAGACTTTTGAGAAATTCACAGGAGACCAGAGATGAGCATCAGAGTGGTTAGGAACCTTGGTTGAGAGAGCCCTAGGTTCACCTTCAGGACTTGAGTGAGAAACCTTGTGTCCTGGCTGGGCAGGAGATAGGGAGAGGGAACTCCTATGCATTGAACACCTGCTATGTGCCAAGGGCTCTGCAAGTTGTCCGTTATCTTACTTAATATTTAGATCAGTATTACAATGAGGAGCTAGAGGCTCAGAGAGGCTAAGTAACTTTCCAGGAGTCACTCAGTACATGGAGGAGCCAGTATCTAAGTCCATATCAGTCTGACTCAACACTTAACGCTTTTCCCACCCATCACCCTGCAGGAGTTGAGGCAGTGCCCTACCATGGCAGGGAGCCCCTGTTCCATCCCTAGACCCCCAGTACCTCAGCAGCCTCTGGAGGCTTGGGAATATGGAGCCTAACACCTGGTATTAATCGGTTAGTGAGTTCCACCGTGTGGTGAGCTCCTTGTTAGGCACAGAGGAGGGAGATAATAGAATTCATTGAATAAACTTCAAGTATTCTTGAAGATGCACGGGACATAAATTTTACACCAGAAGAATATACAAATGAGTGTGCATTAATTTAACATGAAGGTAGTCAGTGCAAAGGAGGGAATTAGCAGTCAGGAGGTTAGACACTGAGAGAAGACGTCTTAGGGGAAGGGAGTTCTGAGGCATGTTTTTTAATTGTACTTCAGGTGAAGGCTTACAGAACAAATAGTTTCTCATGAAACAGTAGCACACATGTTGTCTTATGACATTGGTTAACAACCCCACAACATATTAACCCTCTGAATTCTCAACCTTTTTTTTTTTTTCTTTTTTTTTTGGTGAAAATACACATAGCCAAAGAGACACCATTTCAAAAATTTCTACATACACAGTTCAGTGACATTGACTACGCTCTTCCAATTGTGCTGTTATTCTCACTTAAGATGAAGGCTTACAGAACAAAATAGCTTCTCATTTAACAGTTACTACAAATATTGCCCAATGACAATGGTTAACAATCTCACAACACATCAACAATATCCTTACTCAACCTGGGGTTCCCTATCACCAGCTTCCTTGTCCCCTTCTGCCTTCTGGCCCTTGTCACTGGACTCCTGTACCTCGTTAGTTTCATTTGGCTTTACGGGGCTGTCCACTCCCAGGCTGAACAGTGAACTCTGAGGCATGTTTTTGAGGTACGATTTGGTGCTTGTTGAGAGGAGGGCAGTTTGGGTAGAGAATGTTCTGAACTATGGTTTGGGGGTGAGAAGGAGCAAGTTGTATGGAGAAAATGACTAGCTTGCAGGTTTGTTAGAGTAGCACAGCCTTCTGTAGGAAAGCAAGGAGAGTGATTCATGTGTCATTACGAGTAAAAGAAAGTGAGTGACTGGTGGAGTAGGGTCTGGTTTCAAGTCCCCACTCCATTCTCTGATTTTTCGATATGCATTGCAGTGAAAAGGTAAAAATGGAGTTTGAGACATATCTTCGGAGGATGATGAAACGCTTCACTAAAGAAGTTCATGAGGACACACACAAGGTAAGTGCAAGGGATCAAGGGCGAGGACATATTTCTCCTCTTTGATGAGGCAGGATAGTATGGAGTCAGGCCTGTAGTCAGTCAAACCTAGGTTTTACTTCTCTCCTGCTTTTTATGTGACCTTGGGCATGTCTCTTATTCTCTCTGAGCCTTAGTTTCCTTATCCATAAAGTAGTGGTAATAATGGTGTCTACCTCATAGGATGGCTGTGAGGATTAAGCAAAATATTACATGTAGTAGGGTCTGAACAGTGTGTACTCTTCTTCCATCTCCTCTTTTAACTGTTTAATAACATTAGTACTGATCTCAGCTACAGTCACAGTAGCTTTTGACTTCAGGTGGTAGTATTGAACATGTATTACTGACTTAGCAAGGTGCTAGGCATTGGAGGATAGAGACATGTATAAAGCTCATTTCCTCCCAGTAAGGAGTTTATGATCTTATGGGTGGAACGAGAAAGACATCAAAACAGAGAAACTCAAGACTGTAAGCTTAGAACAATGAAAGAGATGAGTGTGGGTCAGAGTAGCTGAGCAAAGCTGTATTTAGGAGAAAGAAGCAGAGTTGGGTCTAGGAGAAAGGACAGCTTTGAGAGATAGGGAGAGAATGGAAAGCTGGGAAAACTGCTCTCGCCGAGTTGTGGAGGGGATGGTAGGATGACCAGCGTGCCTGGATATGTGGAAGGTGTATGTGTTGGGGACCAGTGGAAAGGGAGGACTTTGATATTCCTCTGACTGGCAGTGGGAGGTAGAGAGGGCAGGGATGAGATGAGAATGTGCAGGATGGGTAGAAGAGACATGGTGTCTACAGCTGCCGTGACATCTAAAAGAAAGAAAGAAGTGTCTTTGAAGCTTGAGATTTTACTTTTTTTTTTTTTTTTTTAAAGGGAATGAGTATATAGAGGTAAAGTGATAAGCACACAGCAAGGACAGTGATGAGGCTGGGGAGGGTGGATGAGCCTCAGGGTTCTTAAGGGATTACATGAGATAGCTGTGCTCCTTTTGCCTCTTGATGGGTGTCGGAGATGAAAGAAAGGGGAGAATTGAGATGACTCCAAGATTCGAAGCTTAAGTGAGGAGACAAAGGCAGTGCCATAGATTAAAATAGGGAAGCTATAAGTGGGGGGAGAAGGGAGATGGATTTTGAAGGGGAAATGATGAAAAGCTGTGTTTGAGAGAAGGGAAAGACAGCCAGGCAATCATTTCAGCAGGTTGGTAAAGGGTGGGGCTGGAGATTAGAGGCGGGGCAGAGGTGTGGGGTCAGCAGCAGAGGAGCTTGGATTCAGACACACACAAGTAGAGCAGTACAGTGAGCTCCTACTCCGAGCTTCCAGCTGTGGCCATCGTCAGCTCTGTGCAGGCTCGCTCATCTATACCACCACTCACCTTTGCTCCTGATCTTTTATGAGCAAATAAATCCCAGACACTGTAGCCTTTCATCTGTAAGTTCTTTCATGTGTTATCTCTTAAAGAAAAACTTTTTTTTTTAAAAAAAAAAAAAAAAATATTGCATTGGGCAAATCCGTTGCAAAAGATTTCTTTAAATGTTAAAAAAAAAAAAAAAAAAAAAGAAGGTCCTTTGAAGCTTATAGATTTGATCTTTTTTTTAAGGGAATGAGAAGAGAGAGGGAGGATAAAAGACAAAGTCTAGGGAAATGGCTGATGTTAGTGATTTTTATTTTGTCATGTATAGAAATGATTATAACTATTTCCTGCCCACAAGGTCATTTAATTTGGCAGTAGAAATCTCTGCTAGTTTGAGTCTTCCTTCCTTACCTTCCCCTTTTTTCCTTTCCTCCCCCTTTCCAGGTTCACCTTCTGTGCCTGCTAGCAAATGGCTTCTATCGAAATCGCATCTGCAGCCAGCCAGATCTGCGTGCTATTGCCCTCTCCATCATCCCAACCCGCTTTACCAAAGTGCCACAGAGAGATGTGGATGTCTGCTACCTCTCCAACCTGGTGAAATGGTGAGGCCCTCACCCTGGCCACAGAGCACTGGTATAGGGGTCGTGTTTTCTTTTAGAGGGTGGATTCGAGTCAGTTCCACGCACATCCCTTGAGGTGAGACTAGGTGCTGGGCAGTGTGCATGGCATTGAAGAGAGAGGAACATCAGTCATGATCCCTGCCCTAGCTGAGCTCCCTGATACATACCAGGTAATTACAGACTAGTGTGACATGTGCTTCTACAGGTGTGTGCTGGGGACTATGGCCCATGGGGCAGGGCACTTATCTCAGCTGGGAGGGTGTCTGGGAAGGCTCCCCAAAGAGGTAAGGTCTGAGTTGGTCTTCAGTGATGACTAGGAGTTGGCCAGACAGGGTGAGGAGAGTAGAACATAGGCTGGTGGGTCTCACAGTACACTCCCCCTTTTGATTTGCTCAGCCATAAAAGAGCAGAAATTCCCTTTTGCCCCGACCTCTGACACAAGGCTACACCTTGTTTCTATCCAGGTTTATTGGAACATTTACGGTTAATGCAGACCTTTCATACAATGAGCAAGATGGTCTACAGACTACATTGGAAAGGAGATTTGCTATTTACTCTGCACGAGATGATGAAGAATTGGTCCACGTAAGTGATGCCTGCCCGCAACACTATATTTATTAGTACTTTTAACTAATTATGCCAGCTATGTGCCAGGCCCCACTCCAGGTGGTTTACATATATTTCCTGTTCAGTCCTCATAACAATTTTAATAGGTACTGAGGCTCAGAGAGGCTAAATGACTTTCCTAAGATCATTTAGTTGGTAAGTAGCAGAATCAAGATTGGGACCAGAGTCTGTGAGTCAAAAGCCAACACTTTTCCTTTCTACTTGGTGGCCTGATGTATTGAAGCATTTAATTTTTGGTCAAATGTCCTAGAAATGTCCCCATTAATTATTTTAAAATTGTGTTTAGAAGTCCCAAGGAAAATGTTTTTTTTAAATTGGATGCTGAGTGGTAATCTTGACAGCTGTTCCCTGAAATCATTCAGAACGTGTTTCCATACCTGTAAACTTGGGTGATGATGCTGGTAGGCAGCTTTTCAGTGAGGAAAGTTTAAGACAGCGTCTTATCCTTATATTCAGAAAGAATAAAAAATAATTGTGGTGGAGTGCTCTTATTGTGATGGCTAAGATTGTATGTCAACTTGGCTGGGCCATGATTCTCAGTGTTTATATGTGATCACTCCTGTGATTGAATATACTGTGAGTAGCCAATCAGATGAAAGGGAGTTTCCTTGGGGATGTAGCCTGCATCTGAATATAAGCAGACATTCTGGCTTTTTGCTCCCTCTGGATCCTGCAGCTGCCTCCTATTGTCTCACCTCCCGTTCTTGGGAATGAGCTGTCAGCTTATCTGCCGAACTTGGGATTCATCCATCTTCACAGCTTGTGAGCGGAGCCCTGCTCTCTGTCCTGCCGATCCTTGGGTTCACCAGCCCCTGCAGCTACATGAATCAGGAGAAACCCTGTGGTCTTGCCTGCCGATCTTGGAATTCGTCTACCTTCACAGCCTGTGAGCAGGAAACCTGCTCTCCGACCTGCCGATCTTGGGCTCACGAGCTTTTGCAGCTCCGTGAATTGGGAGAGGCCTCTACCCTGATCCATGGACTTGGGACGTTCTAGCCTCTACACTCGCGTGAGCTGTTTTCTTGATATAAATCTCTCTCTATATATATTTATGCACTTTACTGGTTTTACTTCTCTAGAGAACCCAGCCTAAGACACTTGCATGAGGCTCTGTCTGAATAAAGCAAAAATAGACATGGAGATGTGGTTTTATTCCTAGAAACCAAACCAAACCTGTTGCCATTGAGTCGATTCCAACTCATAGTGATACTGTAGGACAGAGTAGAACTGCCCCATAGGGTTTCCAAGGAGCGGCTGGTAGATTCAAACTACCAGCCTTTTGATTAGCAGCTGAGCCCTTAACCACTGTGCCACCAGGGCTCCTTTTCTCTAGAAAGGTCCTATGTTAATCCATGTATTTGTATTCATGAGTCCTCGATTCCCTGTATATTTAGAGAAAGAGACTAGATTTTCCATATCTTCAGAGGCCATCTTCAGTTGCCTTCTTATAATTTGGCTTTCAAAGGCCTAAGATACTTGGCATGGCCACTAATTATCATACTGCAAGCCAGAGAAAACCCTTGTTAATATTTTAGTTTTATCCTCTCAGATTTTCTTCCTGCATGAATGAATAATTTCTTTTATAAGAATCAGCACAAAGCTGGTTCCTATGAGGTGGAGATTAAAGATGTCCTAAATGTCCAACTTTACCAAACTGCTGTCCCGCTCCATCATCTCTAATACCAACTACTCCTCCTCCCCTGAGTACTCTTCCTCCTGTCTTTGGGTTCTATAATTCACTGAAATGTCTCACAGAACTCATGAACCATATCTCAAGGAAATGGCTCACGCAGTTGTGGAGGCTGGCAAGTCCCAAATCCGTGGGTCAAATGTCAGACTGGAGGCTTCTCCCAACCCACGTGGCTGCAGGGCCTGGTGAACCCAAACTGGCAGGTCAGATGACAGGCTGCTGGCTCACAAGGCTGTGAAACCTGGAGAATCAAGTCAGACAATAGGCCGCTGGCTGAGGGTGCTTTGGAAGCCGGCGAATCCCAGAATCAGCAAGTCAGATGGCAGGCCGCTGGCTCAAGCTCTAAGAACCGGAGGTCAGATGATCACAAACCAGATGCAGGACCCAGAGTGTAAGAACTTCCCCAGAGCATTCATATCCATTTGATGCAGACCATGTCCTCAAGGAAACTACCCCTACTTGAGAAATGGTGACTTGAGTCACACCCTTTAGTAAGGGTAGTGATTTGGGTTACACCCTGTAGTAAGGTGGTGACTCAAGATACATCCTTAATCCTGCCTCATTAGCACAACCAAGGCATAGAGACTAGGATTCACAACACATCATAAGATGGAGGACAACGTACAATACTAGGAATCATGGCCTAGCCAAGTTGACACATAACCCCAACCATCACAGGTTCCATACACCTTACTTGCATAGTCCCACTCAGCCATTGCATGTGAGTCACAAAGACTATGGCTGGAAGGGCCATATTAAGAAATTCATTGCACTGAATTGTGTATCTGTATACATATATATGTTTGTTTGTTTAGGCAAAATTGGGATCATACAGTTCTTATTTAAAGTGAACAATTCAGTGACATTTAGTTCTTGTACAATATTGTGCAACCACCACGTCTAGCTCCAAAACATCTTCATCCCCCTAAAACAAAACCCTGTACCTATTAAGCAGTGTCTTAGGCTGGGTTCTCTAGAGAAGCAAAACCAGTGAAGCTTGTATCTATAGAAGGAGAGAGAAAGATTTGTCTCAAGGAAATGGCTCACATGGTTGTAGAGACTGGCAAGTCCCAAGTCCGTGGGTCAGATGTCAGGGTAGAGGCTTCTCCTGACTCACGTAGCTGCAAGGGCTGACAAACCCAAGATTGGCAGGTAAGATGGCAGGCTACTGGCTCACAGGCTGCAGAGGTTGACAAATCCCAAGATCGACAGGCAGTACAGCAGGCCGCTGCCTCAAGTCCCGAGAATAGGAGGTCAGATGATGATGAGCTGGATACGGGATCCAGAGCAAGTGAGCGAGCTTTGCCCGAACATCCACATATATATTGGATACAGGCCACACCCCCAAGGAAACTCCCCTTGCAACTAACTGATTGGCTGATCACATCAGGTCATATTATAGAGGATGACTACATAATTCGTTACATAACTGCCAAACTACGTCATTAGATAACTGCCAAACCACTGAAAATCATGGCTCAGCCAAGTTAGCACACAACATTAGTCATCACAAGCAGTTACTTCCATTCTCCCTTTTCCCCAGCCCATGGCAACCACCAGTCTACTTTCTACCACTGGATTTACCTATTTTAGATATTTTCTATAAATGGAATCATACAATACGTGACCTTTTGTGTCTGGCTGCTTTCACTTGGCTTAATGTTTTCAAGAGTTGTCTACATTGTAGCCTGTATCAGTACTTTATTCCTTTTTATGGCTGAATAATATTCCATTTTATGTGCGTGCATACGTATAAACACAATTTGTTTATCCATTCATCTGTTGATGGACATTTAGATTGTTTCCACCATTTGACTATTGTGAATAGTGCTTCTGTGAACATGCATATATACGTGTATTTGTTTGAGTGCCTGTTTTGCATACTTTTGGGTACTTACCTAGGAGTGGAATTGTTGGGTCATATGGTTATTCTATGTTTTACTTTTCAAGGAAACTGCCAAACTGTTCTCCACAGTGGGTGTACCATTTTACATCTCTACCACCAGTGCACAAGGGTTCAAATTTCTCTACATCCTTGCCAACACTTATTTTCCCATTTTTTTTTTATAGCCATCCCGTTGGGTGTGAAGTGATATCTCATTATGGTTTTCGTTTGCTTTTCCCTAAAACTAATGATGTTGAGCATCTTTTCATGTCTTTGTTAGCTATTTGTATATCTTTGGAGAAATGTCTATTCAGTCCCTTGCCCATTCTTTAATTGGATTGTTTGTCTTTTTGTTGTTGAGTTGTGAGAGTTCTTAATATATTTTGGATACTAAACCCTTATCAGATACATGATTTGCAGATATTTTCTCCCCTTCTGTAGGTTGTCTTTTCACTTTCTTGATAATGTCCTTTGATGCACAAAAGTTTTTAATTTTGATAGAGTCCAAAATAGCTGTATTTTCTTTTATTCCTTGTGCTTGTATCTGAGAACCCATTGCCAAATCCAAGGTCGTTAAGATATACTCATATGTTTTCTTCTAGAAGTTTTATGGTTTCAGCTCTTATATTTAGATCATTGATCCATTTTGAGTTAATTTTTGTGTATGATGTGAATTAGGGGTCCAGTTGTCCCAGCACCGTTTGTTGAAGAGACTATTCTTTTCTCATAGTATGCCCTGGGCATCCTTGTCAAAACTCAGTTAGACATAGATGTATGGGTTTATTTCTGAACTCTCAGTTCTCATTGATCTCTGTGTTTATCCTTAGGCCAGTACCATACTGGTTTTGATTACTGTAGCCTTTGTAGTACATAAGTTTTGAAACAGGGACGTGTGAGGCTTTCAGCTTTGTTTTTTGTCAACATTGCTTTGGCTGTTTGGGACCCTTTGCAGTTGCATATGAATTTGAGGATCACCTTTTCCATTTTTTCAAAAAATGCTGTTAGAATTTTGGTTGGGATTGCAGTGAATCGGTAGATTGCTTTTGGTAGTATTTCTAGCTTGATAGTACTGAGTCTTTTAATCCATGAACATGGGATGTTTTTCCATTTATTTAAGTCTATAATTTTTTTCAGCAGTGTTTTATAGTTTTCAGTGTACATGTCTTTTATCTTTTCGGTTATTCCTGTGTATTCTTTCGGATGCTATTGTAAATGAATTTTTTCTTAATTTCTTTTTTAAATTGTTCATTGATAGTGTACAGAAATACAACTGATTTTTTTTGTGTTGGTCTTATACTCTGCAACTTTGCTGAATTTATTAGCTCTAGTAGTTTTTTTAATATCTGTATGCTGAGCAAATAATCCGAGAAGCTGGACTATATGAAGAAGAAGGGGGTTCAGGATTGGAGGAAGATTCATTAACAACCTGCATTACGCAGATGACACAACCTTGCTTGCTGAAAGTGAAGAGGACTTGAAGCACTTACTGATGAAGATCAAAGACCACAGTCTTCAGTATGGATCACACCTCAACATAAAGAAAACAAAAATCCTCACAACTGGACCAATAAGCAGCGTCATGATAAACGGAGAAAAGATTGAAGTTGTCAAGGATTTCATTTTACTTGGATCCACAATCAACACCCATGGAAGCAGCAGTCAAGAAATCAAAAGATGCATTGCACTGGGCAAATCTACTGCAAAAGACCTCTTTAAAGTGTTGGAAAGCAAAGATGTCATCTTGAAGACTAGGGTGCACCTGACCCAAGCCAGGGTATTTTCGGTCATGTCATATGCATTTGAAAGCTAGACAGTGAATAAGGAAGACTGAAGAAGAGTTGATGCTTTTGAATTGTGGTGTTGGCAAAGAATGTTGAATATACCATGGACTGCCAAAAGAATGAACAGGTATGTCTTGGAAGAAGTACAACTGGAGTGCTCTTTAGAATCAAGGATGGCCAGACTGCGTCTTACATACTTTGGACATATTGTCAGAAGGGATCAGTCCCTGGAGAAGGATTTCATGCTTGGTAAAGTCAGGGTCAGCGAAAAAGAGGAAGACCCTTAACGAGATGGATTGACACAGTGGCTGCAACAATGGGCTCAAGCATAACAACGATTGTGAGCATGACGCAGGACCGGGCAGTGTTTCATTCTGTGGTACACAGAGGCGCTCTGGGTTGGAACCAACTCGACGGCACCTAACGACAACAGTAGTTTTTTTGTGAAGTCTTTAGGATTTTCTGTATGTAAGATCATATCATCTGCAAATGGAGATAGTTTTACTTCATCCTATTTGGATGCCTTCTATTTTTTTTGTTACCCAATTGCTGTAGCTAGAATTTTCAGTATGATGCTGAGGAACAGTGATGAAAGCAGACATCCTTGTCATGTTCCTGATCTCAGGGGGAAAGCTTTCAGTCTTTCATCATTGAGCAGGATATTAGCTGTAGATTTTTCATAAGGGCCTTTATCATGTTGAGGAATTTTCTTTCTATTCCTAGTTTTCTGAGTACTTTTATCATGTAAGGGTGCTGGATTTTGTCAAATACTTATTCTGCATCAGTTGAGATGATCGTGTTTGGTGTTTTTCTTCTTTCTATTAATGTGGTGTCTTGCATTGATTGATTTTCTTATGTTGAACCATCCTTGCATTCCTAGGATAAATCCCTTTTAGTTGTGGTATATAATTCTTTTAATATGCTGTTGGATTCAGTTTGCTACTATTTTGTTGAGGGTTTTTGCATCTGTATTTTGAAGGGCTGTACATCTGTAGTTTTCTCGTGATGTCTCTGTCTGGGTTTGGTATCAGGATAATGCTGGCCTTATAGAATGAGTTTGAAAGTGTTCTTCCCTATTTTATTTTTTGGAAGAGTTTGAGAAGGATTGATGTTAATTTTTCTTTAAATGTTTCATCCTGGACTTTGTTGAGATTTTTTTGATTACTGAGTCAATCTCTTTATTTGTTATAGTTCTGTTCAGATTTTCTGTTTCTTCTTGAGTCAGTTTTGGTAATATGCATGTTTCTAGGAGTTTGTCTATTTCATCTAGGTTATCTAAATTGTTTGCATAGGAATCACACAGTTTGTAACCTGATTTTTTTCCATCAGCAACATAATTGACAAATTACTTGTTAAAGGTGAGGACTGTGTATGTTTGGTGGCAGTAGACTATTTCCAGTGCTTTATCACATATGTTATTTTATTTAATCCTCCCTATAGCCCTGTGGGAGCCCTAATGGTGCAATGGTTAAGTGTTTGGCTGCTAACCAAAAGGTCGGCAGCTTGAATCCACCAGCTGCTCCTCGGAAACCCTGTGGGGCAGTTCTACTCTGTCCTGTAGGGTTGCTGTGAGTCGGAATTGACTCGAAGACAACCAGTTTTCGGTATAGCCTTGTGAGAAAGACACGGCAGGGATTATTATAGATGAAGAAATTCAGGTTTAGAGAAGTCACTCAGCTAGTGGTGAGTACCCAGTTATTTGAATTTCTAGAACTGTGCTCCTGTGCTATGTTGAGCATGTTGCAACTAGAAATTAATATTGGCACAACACTATCAGCTAATCTGCAGACATTATTTGGATTTTCCAGGTTTTTTCATTAATGTCCTTTTTTAGTTCCGGGATCCAAGCCAGGACACTACATTGCGTTTAGTCATCATGTCTTTTTTGTGTCTTTTAAGGTGTGACACTTTCTCAGTCTTTGCTTTTCTTTCATAACTTTAGCACTTTTGAAGAGGCAGGTTAGAAATTTTATCGAGTGTCACTCAATTTTGGTTTCTTTGATCTTTTCTCACCCCTGGCCCCACCCCGTTTTTTAATCCCAGCAGAAACAAGGCAAAAATAATTATTTTTGTCATCACCACATGGCTTTTTACCCGACACCTGCCTTTCAGTTTCTGATTTTTACCTCTTTCTCACAAGAGTATTGTAGAAATTAACGAGGAATGTAAGGACCTTGAGATCTGTAAAGGAAGATCTTGCTCAAGTACATTATTGCTGTTACTATTTTATTTTGGAGGTCAGTTTGCCTGATGAGGCTCCCATCCTTAGAAGTTAACAGAATTTTTGGAACTGCAGGCTTCAGGCGAGAGATTCAGTGTGAGGAAAATGGAAAACAGGGAATAGACTTGTGCGATCTGATGATAATGATGTTTTTTCCTTTTTGTCCCCAAAGTGATACTTGGTTTTATGATTTTATTTAAGTCACAAATGCAACACATTTTGAATACAGAAAAAATCAGAAAAGATAGGTAACCAAAAGAAAAAAGTCCTGTAAACACCTGTAACCCAACTCTATGGATCCTTTTCCAAATATTCACGTATGTCTATATTCATGTTTATATATGGTTTTTCTTACAAAAATATAATCACATCATATGTTCCTTTAAAAAGATAAAAGTTTTCTTTTCCTATATGGTGTATATTTCCTTGTTTTTCTACAAAGATAAACCTCTGCAGCATCATTTTTAATAATGTTGAGGGTTTCAGTCTTCTTTGTTTAGATAGTTTGGTTGTTTCTAATTTTTCTGTTATAGACAAGAACCACAGCAGACATCACTGAACTAATTAAATCTTTGATTATTTTCTTAGGATAAATATGTCATTCTTTATCATCACAGATATTTTTACTGATTCTCCGGGCCCTGGATCTTCTCACCCGACTAGTGATGTCTCTACAGCCAATTCCTCTGAAGTTATCAGCGGCAAAGGTGAGGTTCCAGGGCTTCCAGAGAAAAGGTCAGGGAGGAGAGAGAAATTATCAAACTTAAAATAACAAAAAAATTGTTTACTAGAAGTTTTTAAGTGTTGTTATTCATGGAGCGTAGGTCCTTTCGAGCCTGCCCGCATGTACCCTGGGTTGGGGAAGACTTGAATGGGTGTCTAGCAGCCTGAGCTTCGTGTGGGGATTTGCGTTCTGGATGCATAGTGGCCTGCATGAGGTCTTGGCTCCTTGACAATTTAGTTTCTGTTCTGTAAAATGGATAAGATGATGCCTGTTTTCCTCATTAGCAGTGTGGGTCAGTGATGAGTGAAGGACTCTGAATATTAGATGCTCCAGGATAAAGGAGTGTTGGCATTATCTGTAGCCTGTTGATCCAAAAGTTGGTTTTAATAATTTCTGTGGTATTAAAACTACAACTTTATTAAGTCCATAAATACTTGTTTGCAAAATGCATTATGTGCCAGGCAGCTATTATTATTGCTGAGGAAACTGAGACTCAGTGGTTAAATTGTTTCCCTAAATCACATAACAAATAAGAGGCAGAATTGGAATTTGGACCCAAGTTTGTCTGTTTCCAAATCCGAGGCTCCTTCCCCTGTGCTACAGTTGACGGTTTGATGAACTATATCCTGACTTTACCTAAGGTGCTACAGATTTTAGCTGATACTTTCTTACATCTCTAAAAGGACAGTCAGTTGATCACTATCTGAGCAGGGAACATCTTGCATACATTGGTTCTCCTGCCAGTGAGCTAACCCTGTTAGGTTATAGGATCTCTGTCATATCATTAGTAAAAAGGAAAAAAAAGAAAAATTTCTTATTCTGTTTAAGGGAAAGAAACCTTCGAAGCAGAGATCCATAGAGGGTCCTGGAAGCTCCTCAGAAACTCCCAGCCATGTTCCAGAAAACCATACCAAGCCAAAGGCCAGCAAAGGAACTAAACAAGAAGAAACCTTTTCCAAGGACACTGGCAATCCAGGTGCCAAAGGGAAGAGAGGCAAGGCAGCTACAGGCAGGAAGAAACAGAGAGCACCTTCCTCCAGTGAGGAAACGGGCAAGGGAGAGGAGCAGCAGGAGAACCAGAGAAAGCGGCGTGGGCGGGAGCGGCACATGACCTCCCGGGTGTCTTATAAAGAGGAGAGTGGGAGTGACAAGGCCAACAGCGACTCTGACTTTGAGCTCTCCAGTGGGGAAGCCCATTCTCCATCTGATGAGGATTCTGACCCTGACTTTCTGAGGCAGAAGCGGGCTCCAGCTCCTAAGAGGACAAAGGCAGGGTCCAAGAGTGACTCCCAGACCTCGCGTCAAAGCTGCCCTAATCCAGCAGCATCCTCAAGCTCTTCGAGCAACAAGAGAGGCAAGAAAATTCCCAGTGGTGTTGAGGAGGTAGAAGGAGGGAAAGCAGCTGGTGTCGACCAGTGGCTAGAGGTGTTCTGTGACAAGGAAGAAAAGTGGGTGTGTGTAGACTGTGTGCACAGTGTGGTGGGCGAGCCTCTGACCTGTTACAGATATGCCACCAAGCCTGTGACCTATGTCGTGGGCATTGACAGCGATGGTTGGGTGCGGGATGTCACACAAAGGTACGACCCAGCCTGGATGACAATGACCCGCAAGTGCCGGGTTGATGCCAAGTGGTGGGCTGAAACCTTGAGGCCATACCAGAGCCCGTTTGTGGATAGAGAAAAGAAGGAAGAGTTGGAGGTAAGGCCTTGGCCGCCAGGGGCTTGAAGACTCAGGTTATTGAAATTATTCTCATTTTTTGAGCACTTCATATATGCCTAGAATGGTGTTGGGTATTTTTAATGTGTTGCCTCATTATTTATCACAACATTACTGTAAAGCAGGGGGTATTATGGCCTTAATTTTACCATTAAAAAAACTGAGGTTCTAAGGGATTAACTGGTGTGGTATTTGAACTCGGGTATTTCTGGCTTTGAAGCCTGTATCCTTTTAGTAATTGCTCAGTTAAAAATTTGTAGCTTTAAAATAGTTTATGCAAGTCATATAACTCGTACTAAGTGAAACAGGGAATAACTAAAGTAATTATTACCCCCTTCTCCATATGTACAGAACACTGTGGGAAGCAAGGGACTTGGAATAAGGCACTATATTCAGTCTGTTGACAAAGCACGCTGGGAAGTAGAGACTTCCACAGTATAACACATCTCGTTACTGGGTCCTAGATCCGACCACTGACACCAGGAACAGGGCTGAGCTTCCTGTGCGCTATGGTTGTGTTGTTGCCGGCAGCTCGGCATTTCTGCACAGGAACATGCCCAGATTTGGAGAAGACTTATTCCTAATCCCTCGGGATGGGTAAAACCTAGATTCAGCATTTCCTGTAGCATTGCAGTTCATCTGACACTGAGAGTTTGCAAGTGTTTTTGGTTCATTTTATTTAGAAATGATGCCACTGAAGAAAGCAGTGTATTTTTCTTCCTTGGTGTCTAAGGGGGTGAGAAGAGGTTAGATGAAGTTGCAATAAACCACAGCATTAAAACTTGATTCTTCACTGCTTTCGGTTTATCTAAACCAAAACCAAACCCACTGCTCTTGAGTCAGTTCTGACTCATAGCAACCTTAGAAGGCAGAGTATATCTGCCCCATAGTGTTTCCAAGGCTGAAATCTTCACAGAAACAGATTCCACATCTTTCTCCTGTGGAGCATCTGGTGGGTTCGAACTGCTGACCCTTTCGGTTAGCAGCTGATCATTTTAACCATTGTGCCACCAGGGCTCCTCTAAGTTTATCTAAAACCTGTGTGATGGCCAGAGCTACAGATGCAACATTACAAAGTCATTGGTGTTCATGAAACCTCTGCTCCACCATCCATTATTACAACAAGTCAATCCATACATTGTCCACCTCAATCCTCACTTCCTTTTATAAATAACATATTCGACATTGTCTGTCTGGCCTTTGCAGTTTCAGACAAAACACCTGGACCAGCCTTTGCCCACTGCCATTGGCACATATAAGAACCACCCTCTTTACGCCCTGAAGAGGCATCTCCTGAAATACCAGGCCATCTACCCTGAGACAGCTGCGATCCTTGGGTACTGTCGTGGAGAAGCTGTCTACTCCAGGTGAGTGAGGCAGGCCAGGCAGCCTTGTGGGCTTCGTGGTCGCCTGGGATTAGCAGCCTTCATCCTGGACAAGGGGCTGGATGAGTATATCTCATTTGTCCACAGTACCATCAGGGATGAGCTGTAGTGTGTGCATGTGCTGTTGTAGGGGAGAAATAATGTAATCTAGCGTTAGGACCTGTCTACATTCAGGAGGAGGCGTGAGAATCAAGATCAGCATAAAGCTGATTCCTATGAGGTGGAGGTCAGACGTACCTTCACTCTGCAACATTTTCCCAATTTCTGACACCAGCCATCCCCCCAACGGCACTCTCTACTTCTCTGCTGGGTTTGATAAGTCATTGCAGTGGCCACACAGAACTCACAGACCATACTCACAATTATGCAGTTTATTAGAGAAGTAACAGGCTACAACTTGGGATCGGGATCAACTTGGAAGTAACAGGGTACAACTAGGAGACAGAATACAGTTCTTCAATCAGTACAGCTGCCAACTAAGACAGTTCTCAGCTTGTTCTTGGCCCCGTCTGCAGGCAGGTGGCCCTTCTCTTGGGCGTACTGGCTGACAGGCCCTTCTCTGGGCCTCTGCCTTGCTCGGCAAGGGTTACACTTACAGCTCTTTAGCTCTACTGACAAGTGGCTGGAGTCACCCTACTGTGCCAGCAAGTATCCTGCCAGAAGGTGCTCAGCTCTCTCTGGCTCCATGGGCCAGCAAACCTGCTGCAGCCGCTTTGCGCTGGTCTTTTCCTTCTCACTTGTACTGCTACCATGATTTCTCTGTTGCTGAGCTCTGCTGTGCTTGTTGCCCTTTCTCACCATCTCACACTGTCTTCAGTGTTCCTAGGATGTTCTCAGTGCAGGGACCCCAGGTTCAAACCTCATGCTCCGCTCCAGGCTCTACTTCACGCTGGTGAGGTTCCCCCCAACCTCTGTGGGACTGGCGTTTACATTCATATTGAAGGCCTGGCTCTCCCAGCCAGCGTATTAACTGACCAGTTCCCTCAGTAGACCACAGTCACTCAGTTTGCGTAGTAATTGACCAGTTACTGCAAGATCACTTAATCCTGTTGGGTGGTTTTAGTAGACTAACCAATTCCTTGGCGAGACTGTGGCATAGCCAGTCATTTTGGCAGAATTATAAACTCAAGGCTAGAAACGCCATATATAAGAGAAACCCATTGCACCACAGGAGGATGTAAAGAAGAGAGTAAATCCTTTTTTTTTTTTTCTTTTTTTAGTATTTTATTGTGTTTTCGGTGAAGGTTTACACAGCACTTCAGGTTCCCATTCAACAATTTCTACCCAAGCTGTTCAGTGACATTGGTTGCGTTCTTCACAATGCGTGAACATTCTAATTATTTCCGTACTGGTTGATCCATTTCCATTAATCTAGTTTCTCTGCCTCCTTGCATTTTCATCTTTGTTTTAAAGTAATTGTTGACCATTTGGTTTCATATAGGTGATTTTTCAAAGGAGCACAGTACTTACTGGTGATAGTCATCACTTTTTGAGCCAGTTTGTTATTTAGCTACAAGATGACCCCAGGGGTTAGTTTTGGTTTAACGTTTGAAGAGTATCTCAGGGCAGTAGTCTCGGAGAGTCCTCCAGTCTCAACCAGTTTAGTATATCTGGCTGTTTTGCTGTTGAGGAATTTGAGTTCTGTTCCACATTTTTCTCCTGTTTTATCTGTTACTAGTAGTAGCCAGGCACCATCTAGTTCTTCTGATCTCATGGTAGATGAGGCCGTGTTTTGTGTAAACTATTTGTCCTGTAGACTAGTTTCTTCTTTGAGTCTTTGGTTTCCTTCTTAATCTTTTGCTGTGGACAGGTGCAGACCAATAGTTGTATCTTAGATGACCGCTGACAAGCTTTTAAGATCGCAGACACTACTCACCAAACTAGGATGTAGAACATAATTTTATGAATTATATTATGCCAGTTGACTGAGATGTCCCACCAGACTATGGTCCTAATCCTTCAAACCCAGAAATCTAATCCTGCGAGGTGTTTGGTTATGTCTAAGAAGTATCTGTAACTGTGTGCCCTACGTGCTTTATTATATATATGACTATATGTGCATACAGTCACATAGATGCATGTACATATACATTTGCATATACCTACATATACACACATGTATACATACCTGTACACATATATAAGGAGCCCTCATGGCTCACTGGTTAAGTGCTCGGCTGCTGACTGAAAGGCCAGTGGTTCAAATCTACCGGCTGCTCCATGAAAGAGTTATGGCAGTCTGCTTTTGTAAAAATTATAGCCTTGGAAACCCCATGAGGCAGTTCTCCTCTTGTCCCTACAGAGTCACTATGAGTCATAATCCACAGCAATGGGCATACACATATATGCCTACATACATACATAGATAACTCGCACATATATTAGCTAGTTGTTTTTGATATTGTTTCAAAATTACATACGCCATAGCAATTACTAACCAGTCTTTTTTTCTTGTGTACTTTTTAGTGACATTGTTTACCTTCAGTGTTACCTTTCCTGTCACCAGAAATAACAAGCATCTACTGTCTAGAGAGTGAATCCCTCTCTCCCCTTTCCCATCTGTGGTAACCACTAATGAACATTAGTTTCTGTATATTTTCCTGTTCATGTCATTTGGTAAAAGTTGTACATACGGTATTTTTTAATTTCATTCAACATGATGTTCTCCAGGTTCATCTGTGTTCCAAGATGTTTGGGGAACTCTTTTTTTTTTTTTTGCTGAGTACTATTCCATTGTATATATATGTACCACATTTTACTTATCTATTCAAGTGTTGATGGGCACTTAGGTTGTTTCCATCTTTTAGCTATTGTGGGTAGTACTGCAATGAACATAGGTGTGCATATGTCTGTGTCACTTCTGTTACACTCCTAGGATATATACGTAGGAGTGGAATTGCTGGGTGATATGGCGGCTCTGGTGGCACAGTGGTTAAGAGCTCAGTTGCTAACCAAAAGGTGGGCAGTTTGAATCCACCAGCTGCTCCTTGGAAATCCTATGAGGCAGTTCTACTCTGTCTTAAAGGGTTGCTATGAGTCGGAATCAGTAGCAGTGGGTTTCGGTATGGCAGCTGTACCTTTAGTTTTTAGAGGACCTGCCAGACTGTTTTCCACAACAGCTGTAATATTTTGCATTTCTACCAGCAGTGGAGGAGGGTTCCAATTTCTCCACATCCCTTCCAACACTTGATATTTTCTGTTTTGTTTTGTTTTATCTTGGCCATCCTAGTGGGAGTGAAATGGCATCTCATTGTGGTTTTGATACACGTTCTCTGATGGTTGATGACGTTGAACATCTGTTCACGTGTCTGTTGGCTATTTGAATATCCAGATATCCTATTTGCTGAAGTGTCTGTTCACGTCCTTTGCTGAGTTTTTGATTGGATTGTTTGTCTTTTTGTTAAGTTGTAGAAGTTTTCTATATATTTTCAGTATTAGACCATTATTCATTATATCATTCCCAAAGGTTTTTTCCCAGACCGTAGATTGTCTCTTTACTCTTTTGATAAAGTCTTTTGATGAAATTTAAGTATTAACTTTTATGAGGTCCCAATTATCTGTTTTGTTTTCTGTTGCTCATGTATTCGTTGTTGTGTTTGATATTCTATCATTGAAAAAAAATAAGTCCCAAAGCTTCGCTTCTATGTTTTCTTCCAAGAAATTTATGCTTTTAGATTTAACATTTAGGTCCTTGATTTATTTTGAATTAGTTTTTTTATACGGTGAGAGGTATGGATCTTGTTTCATTTTTTGCGTGTGGAAATCCAGTTTCTCCCGCACCATTTGTTGAAGAGACTGTTCCTTCCCTGTTGAATGGATTTGGTACCCTTATTGAAAGTCAATTGACCATAGACGTTTGGATATATTTCTGGATTTTCAGTTCTATTCCATTGGTCTATGTGTCTGTCATTACACGAGTACCGGGCTGTTTTGATTACTGTATCTGTGTAATGTTTTAAAGTCAGGAAGTGTGTGAGGCCTCCTACTTTGTTGTTCTTTTTCAGAATTACTTTGGCTGTTTGGAGTCTCTTGTCTTTCCATATAAAATTGAGGATTATTTTTTTTGTTTCTGTTAAGAGTGCTATTAGAACTTTGATGGGGATTGCATTGTAGCTGTAGATCACTTTGGGTAGTATTGCCATCTTGATTTTATTAGGTGTTTCAATCCATGAGCATGGAAATGTCTTTTCATCTATTTAGGTTTTCTTCAGTCTCTTTCAGCAGTGTTTTATAATTTTCATTATATAAGTCTTTCACATCCCTGGGTAAATTTATTCCTAGATATTTTATTCTCTTAGATGCCATTATAAATGGAGTTGTTTTCTTAATCAAGAGATTAAATCTTGAAATTAAAACAATGAGGACTCAAAATCTAGTAGGAAAAAATAAGTTATGAGCGATAAATAAAAAGTAGAACAAATCAGATTTAAGATAGGGCAATAAGAAACTGCAGTGCAATGGTGCAGTGGATCACTTTCGTGTGGCCTTGGCTAGCCATGGTCTTGTAACCCCCACCGAAGTGATTGGGTGGGACTGTGTGATAGGGTAATTGTGGCCCATCAGAGGGATTGGTCAGTTTTGCCATTTGCTTGAAATAAGCCACCACAGAGGCAGGAAAGGAGAGGATCCCACTACCACCAAGGAAAAACAGCCAGCGCGTCCTTTGGGCCTGGGATCCCTGTGCTGAGAAGCTCCTAGAACCAAGAGACCAAGAGAGAGAGCGAATCGTAACACTGAAGGCAGAGACCCAGCAGCAGGAGACGGCGTGGTGGGCTTCCCTGCTGATGGAGAGAGAAAGCTTGAGTGCCTTTGGGCAGAGGCCATGGGCCAAGCAGAGGCATGCCTGAGAGCACGACTGGGAAGAGGCTATCCTGTCCAAGAACTGTATCCTGAGTGTTCCTGAGCCTGAATTGTAACTGTTACTTCCCTAATAAAACCCATAATCATGAGCATTGTTTGTGAGTTCTGTGTGGCCATTGCAATGAACTGTCGAACCCAGCAGAGAAGTAGAGAGTGCTGTGGGGGGGACGGTTGGTGTCAGAATTGGTAAAGATGGCAGAGGGAGGAGACGTGTCTGACCTTCACCTCATAGAAGTCAGCCTTGGGCTGTTGATCTTGATTCTCCTTCCCCCTTGTGAAGTTAGAGGAGGTCAGACATGGCTCTCACGCTGTTTTTACAGAAACACACCTTTCAAGTAAAAGATAAAGACCTACAAGGGAAGGAATACAGGACTTAATGAAAGTTAAAAATGAGTGGAATAAGAGTAAAAAATGAAATTAAAATTTATACAAAACTAAAACTGAAAAAAATAAAAATATAATTTCAAGGTGAGGAAAAAACAAAAATAGAAGCAGGAATTTTAAGAATTAGCAATAGAAAGCGAATAAGAGATTTAAAAAAAACACTGAAATAGAAGATTAAAAAAAAATAGGGGATGTTGTTAAGAAATAGAAATACAGAAGAAAGTAAGGAAAAGAAAAAGGGAGGAAAAAAGGAAACACAGGGAAACCTGCATCAGACCTCTGACTGGGGACTACTTGTCAGCCCTGGTCAGGCCCCACACCTGTCTGCCCCTCTGACCCCTGCCTTCTCTGCTGCTGTCTGAAGACCATCGCCATGACGTACTTACTCCTTTGGGCAGTCAGAGATCTTTACTCTCTGTGGAATTGTGGGGGTGGAGCTCTGACAGAGTGATGCTGTTGACAAAGAAGCCCTGCTCCAGCACTGAGAGAGTGTTTCTCCCCTCAGCCTTGTGAGGTAGACAGGAAGGAGCTTATTATCCCTAATTGATAAGAGGAGGATACTGAGGCTCAGAAACATAAAGTGACTTGTTCAGGGTCACCCAGCTAGGAAGTGGCACAGACAGCACTGGACCCATATGCATTTTACTATGCTGAGACTCAGACTGTGGGATAGTTTGCAAAGGGCCTGATTTTTATACTCAAGGGAACCTTGGTGCCCTTGCTTGTTGGAGCTCCTCTGGACAGTTTAGGGGTTCAAACTAAAGAAGATACAGACATGACCTCTTAAAGAAGGCTTGGTAAGGAAAGGAGCTGAAACTCATTGGAAAACAGAATTGAACAACTGTGGGTGTGGTGTGATGTATCACTTTTATATGGCCTTTCTAGCCATGGTGTTGTGACTCCCAAAAGATTGAGTGTGATGATGCAAATAAGGTGCTTGTGGCCCACCACGGGGATTGGACAGCTTGCTAATAATACAAGTAAGGGGCCTGGCACCCCTATGGGGGTTGGGACCCTAACGAGGGGATTGGTCAGTTTTGCCATCTTGCTAGGCTTCAAATGAGCCATCCCAGAGGCGGAAAGGGGAGACCTCAATACCACCAAGAGGAAGAGTTGAGAGCAGAGCACATCCTCTGGACCCAAGGTTCCTGCACTGAGACAGAGAGCTATAACGCCAGAGACGGCGCAAGACAGCGAGAAGCAGTGGTGGCAGAGAAACGGCGGCAACGGAACCAGGAGACCGGCATGAGACGGCACAGAGGGCTTCCTGGTCCATGGAGTGAGGCGGTTACAGTGGGTATGCCTATCCACAGAGCAAGAGAGCTGATGCCTTCAGGTCGAGGCTTACTGGCAGAGGCGGGTGCCCCCAGGCACTTACTGGCAGAGCTAAAGAGCTTTGTAATGCTTGAGCAGGGCAGAAGCCAGGCTGAGGTCCTGAGGGCCATCGAGAAGCCTGCCTGCAGGCACAGCTGAAAAGAGGCTGCCCTGATCAAAGAACTGTATCCTGAGTGGTTCCTGATCCTGAACTGTAACCTGTTACTTCCCTAATAAACCCCGTAACTGTGAGTATGGTCTGTGAGTTCTGTGTGGCCATTGCAACTGATTATTGAACCCAGCAGAGGAGTAGAGGGTCCCGTGGGAGGGATGGCTGGTGTGAGAATTGGTAAAAACATTGGAGGGTGGAGATACGTCCGACCTCTACCTCACAGCAATCAGCCTTGAGCTGTTGATAATAATAATGACTCTTCTTCCCCCCCACCCCCCACGAAGTTAGAGGACCTCTTACACCACCGCTCCATTGTCACAGTGGGGTAGCTCTTAGTTCTGGAAGGGAAGTGAAGCCAGAGGATCCTGCCCATTGTCACAGGCTGCCGTGAGTTATTTGGCTGTTCCGTTTGTGTGAATCTTGATTCCATGCTAGTTTATTAACTCATTGTAGCTAGTATCTTTCTTTTTTTTTTTTTCTTTCTCCCACAAAGCCACTGGATGGGTTTGAACCACCAGTCTTTCCGTTAGCAGCCAAGCATTTAACCATTGCTCCATCAGGGTTCCTTTTGTATACACATATATACATGTATATATATATAATACATATTTATACGTATGTATGTGTATATGTATGTGTGTGTATGTGTGTGTGTATACACACACATACGTATATATATAAAATACCGGTTGCCTCATAGTGACCCTATATGAAAGAGTAGAACTGCCCCATAGGATTTCCAAGGAGCGGCTGGTGGATTTGAACTGCCGACCTTTTGGTTAGTAGCCGAGCTCTTAACCACTGCACCACCAGGGCTCCGTGTGTATATTTCCATATATATCATATATACCAAACCAAACCCATTGCCATCGAGTCAATTTCGACTCATAGTGACCCTATAGGACAGAGTAGAACTGCCCCATAGGGTTTCCAGGGAGCGCCTGGTAGATTCGAGCTGCCAAGCTTTTGGTTAGCAGCTGTAGCTCTTTTTTTTTAAATTAATTAATTAATTCTTCTATTGTACTTTAGATGAAGTTTCTCATTAAACAGTACACATATTGTTTTATGACATGGTTTAACAACCCCATGACATGTCAACACTCTCCTTTCTCGACCTTGGGTTCCCTATTACCAGTTTTTCTGTCCCCTCCTGCCTTCTGGTCCTTGTCCCTGGGCTGTTATGCCCGTTTAGTCTCGTTTTGTTTTATGGGCCTGTATAATCTTTGGCTGAAGGGTGAACTTCGGGAGTGACTTCATTACTGAGCTAAAAGGGCGTCCGGAGGCCATACTTTCAGGGTTTCTCCAGTCTCTGTCAGGCCAGTAAGTCTGGTCTTTTTTTGTGAGTTAGAATTTTGTTCTACATTTTTCTCCAGCTCTGTCTGCAACCCTCTATTGTGTCAGAGCG